TGGAAACGCATGCGCCCGCAGCCGCTGGGGCCTTCGGTGGAGCTCCCTATGGGGCACGAAACGTGTGAGGGGTGTGCCGAAATGGGGGGGTGGAACCGCGTGCGAGCGCAGCCACTGGGGCCTTCGGTGGAGCTCCCTATGGGGCCACGAAACGTGTGAGGGGTGTGCCAGAATGGGGGGTGGAACCGCATGCGGGCGCAGCCACTGGGGCCTTCGGTGGAGCTCCCTATGGGGCCACGAAACGTGTGAGGGGTGTGCCAGAATGGGGGGTGGAACCGCATGCGGGCGCAGCCACTGGGGCCTTCGGTGGAGCTCCCTATGGGGCCACGAAACGTGTGAGGGGTGTGCCAGAATGGGGGGTGGAACCGCATGCGGGCGCAGCCACTGGGGCCTTCGGTGGAGCTCCCTATGGGGCCACGAAACGTGTGAGGGGTGTGCCAGAAGGGAGGGGGAGGGAGGAGGAAGGAGAGGAGGAGGAAGGAGGAAGGAGGAAGGAGAAAGGAGGAAGGAGGAACGCGGGGACCGTCTCTTCAAAACGAGGACCCAACAACATAGGTTGGTTGGGAAAAAGAAGAAGTTTGTAGCGATTTCCGGCCTCCAGGACCCTCGACGGGCCCCGGGACCGTCAAAAAACCGCTCAGAATTCAAATCCAACACCGGTGAAGTAGTCCAGACCTCCAGGGGGCACGCATTGAAAAAGTCATGCAAGATATCGGATGCGCGGGGACGCAAGGGGGGTTTGGCGAATCAGCTACACGTAGCCAGTTTTCCCAGCGCCTCCCGGCGCCGGAGGCGGCGCCCAAATATCCAGAAATGGGGCCGGCGTCGGCGAGGGCCATCGGAAGGAGTCCTGAAGCCCAGATCCCCTGGCGCCGCGGAAAAAACTCGACAAGTGGCTTCGGTATATTTTGGGCCTCTGGGGGCCCTCCCTGGGCCCCAGGACCGTCAAACAACGACTCGAAGGCTGAAAAAAGCCGGCCCCGGGAGAGGGCTTACAAACTTCTGCATGGGGGCCGAGAGCTTCTCAGGACATGCCGACGAACATCCATGAGGCGGGGAACGCGCAATCCAGTCACGGATTCACGGTTGCGGGCAAGGCCGAAAGCCATTTCATACGTGGCCTGTTTGGGCCGTCTTGGAAACCCCTCTGAGGCTTCGGGTTCCGTGTCGGAGCCACGTTTGGTGGCCTCCGAAGCCGCCTTGGGCGCTTCTCGTGGGCCTCTTGGAAGCAATGTCGACACCCCCTTGGCGCCGTTTGGGGGCCTCTTTTGGGCCTCTTATGGGCCTCTTTTGGGCCTCTTGGGAACCTCTTCGGCCCTCTTGGAAGCCTCTTGGGGCCTCTTGGGAGCTTTTTGGGGCGGCAGACACGAATTTGCGGTTCGGGCTTCCCCTTTTGGGCCCGCGTTGGGGCTGTCTTGAGGCCCTCCTGGGCCTTCTTGGGCGACTCTTGGGCGTCCCCGAGGCCACAATCCCGCGTACATTACTCAAGATTCGCGTCTCAGAGACCACGACCCCTCGTAAATTACTCGATAGTCGCACCCCCGACGCCATAATCCCTTCTAAATCACGCCACGTTCACAAACAGGCCTCACGACATACTTCGGAATCGCCTCCCCCTGCCCCCTTTCCCCGGTGCCTAGACAAGGGGGCGACAACAACCGACGAACTAAAACACAAATCGACAAACTAACGCAAAAATCTACAAACTAAAACAATAATCGGCAAACTAAAACAAAATTCTACAAACTAAAACAAAATTCGTCAAAAGAAATCAAACATCAACCAAATGTGCTACGATGTCTAAGGAAGCCTCTTGGAGACTATCTGGAAGCTTCTTGGATGGACCCTCCTATAGGGCACAAGCCGCGCGAGAGGGTGCGTGTCGAAACTCGAAGTGCGAAAACAGACAGGCAGCAACAGAAGCGAACGCAGAAACATGCAATGCAGCGCTAATCGCGCTCGCGCTCACTTGAGCAAGCTCCGGTTTTTCCTGAGAACCGAAGAGCCCGAAGCCACCCAGAAACGCCACTGAACAACTCGAGAGCCTTCTTTGGGGTCGGCGGCAGAGGCGGCAGCCTTTAAATAATATTGCAAATGTATCGCGCCAAAGAATTGTACTGCATTGTATTGCAAGTAATGCATTGCACGCGAAAATCCAACAATACATCTGCACACCGGATGATATCGCACGCCCCAAATCTATTGCAACCCCACAGGTCTATTGCACCAAATCTATTGCACCACCCCCTTTCAGCTGGACCCCCTTCTCGCCATCGCTCAGACGTCCATTCCCTGTTTTTTTTTTCAGTTTCGTGTGTTTTTTTTCGCCAAATGATCAAGGATGCTCCTCGATGGTCCTCGCCGAAAAAATGCACACGTCCGAGCGATGCCAAGCCTTTTGGGTCAACCAAAAGTTAGCGAGTCAGATCGCGTAGCTGATTATCCTGGCGCCTCCGGGCGCCGGAGGCACCAACCACCATTTCCATTTCCACCCCTGTGCCTGACCCTTCAGGAAAGAATGGAGTCCTGGCAACATGAAAAACACCACACGCCGAAGAGGGTCGGCACCAGGGAATGCAAATCAGGCACTGAACGGGGTTCTGGCAACACAAAGAGCCGGCTAGCTATGAAGGCTGCACCCGCATGATCAAAGCATGTCTGGCAGTGGAGTCCTGGCAACAGGACCAGCTGGCCGGCTACAAGAGCGGCACCTGGATGATCGGAATCGTGTCCGAGAGTGAAACTGTGGCAACACGACGAGCCCAACCCCTTTGAGCGTTGCACCCGCATGGTCATGATCGGGCCCTTGGCGCCGCTCGGACGTCCATGTCCCGTGCATTTGTCGGCTTCGTGCGTGTTTTTTGTTGCTCGATTGTCCAGGATGGTCCTCGATGGTTCTCGCCGAGAAAAAAGCGCACACGTCCGAGCGATGCTAAGGGCCTGGACCTGCTGTTCTCGCAGCACCCAGGGTCTGGCCCCACCTGCCGGCCCAACCCCAACAGTACGCGAACAGCGCTAACACTCCATGCCCGGACATGTGATGCCTTGTTTTTCCCAGCAACCCTGTGATGTTGAGCCTTCGTTTTGATGAGACAGCGCTCCGCATCTCCCACCTCCTCTCCTCAGCGCCCCTCCTCCCTCCCCGCATCTGCCGTTTGCACGTCCCAAATGCCAGAGCACCCAGCACAGCGTGTCGTGGCCCCGCGGGGAGCTCACCTGAAGGCCCCGGTGGCACAGTCCGCATGGCGCACGGGCATCCGATTCGGCACGCCCCTCACACCGTGGCCTCACAATGAGCTCCACCGAAGGCTCCAGTGGAACAGTCCGCACCGCGCACCCGCATGCGACTTGGACAGGAGTCACACGTTTCGTGTCCCCATGGGGAGCTCCACTGGAGGCCCCGATGGCACAAACCGCATGGCGTGCCCGCATCCGCTTTGGCACACCCCTCACACGTTTCGTGGCCCCACATGGATCTCCGCCGAATGCCCTAGTAGCGCATGGCGTGCCCGCGTCCAATTTGGCACACCCCTCACACGTTTCGTGGCCCCATAGGGAGCTCCACCGAAGGCTCCAGCGGCACAGTCGGCACCGCGTACCCGCATCCGTTTTGGCACCCCTCACACATTTAATTGCCCCATAGGGAGCTCCACCGAAGGCTCCAATGACACAGTCCGCATGGCGTAACCGCATCCGGTTTGGCACACTCCTCACAGGTTTCGTGGCCCCGCATGGAGCTCCACCGAAGGCCCCAATTCGTGGCTCCAGAAAGAGATCCACCGAAGGCCTCAGTGGCACAACCCGCATGGCGTACCGCGTACCCACATCCGCTTTGGCACACCCCTCCCACGTTTCGCGGCCACATGGGGAGCTCCACCGAAAGCTCCAATGGCACAGTCCGCATGGCGTACCCGCATCCGCTTTAGCACACCCTTCACACGTTTCGCGGCCCCATGGGGGGCTCCACCGAAGGCCCCAGCGGCGCAGTCCGCATGGCGTGCCCGCGTCCGCTTTGGCACACCCCTCACACGTTTCGTATCTCTACCGTCGGACTTGATTGGAGAGGACACGCGAGAGGACACAAGACCCTTCCGAGGGCCACATCGCCATCGGAGTGCAAGAAGGCGCGCGTCGCGAGGCACGGGACAGAAAGGCACCCTTGAGCTGGCAGGGTCAACCTACTAATCCGGGCCGACTGTATAGGGAGCTCCAGTGCAAGCCCCAATTGGCAGCACCCGCATGGCGGCTCCGCCCAGTTTCGGCACACCCCTCCCTCGCTTCGTGGCCCCACAAGGAGATCCACCGAAGGCGATACACATGACGACGGTATTCACAACTGCGTATGGTTGGGACCCTCGCCAAAATAACTTCAGCACGGGATCCCCAACGTCCCGACCCTTTCCCTTTCCCCAGGGCAGGATTTCCTAGGGGAACAAAAAGAGACATAAACACAAAAACTCGGAGGTCCGCGCGGATTTCCTGGATCGGCGCTGCACCCCCCTCCCTGGCGCGCGGAGCGCGCCAGGGGCGGCGCCGGAGGCGCCGCCGCTGGCATGCTTGCTCCGTGAACAAAAACGCCTGTTGCGTTTTTGTTCACGGAGCGAGCATGCCGGGGTATGGCTAGCCCAGATTTGGAAACATGCGCGCAAGTCGGGAGGTCGTAAATGTGGGGTAGGGATAAGAGGTGGGGTTCGAGGAAAGCAAGTCGCTCTAGGCTACTCCTGGACGAAAGGCATGTGAGCATCCAACTGGGTTGGTCCCCCAACCCCACCTTGAGATAAAGCTGGACCTAGCCCAGAAGTAACATCCCTCAAGAACATGAGACCCTACGCCAGCCAAAACACACAGAACATGCAGGGGCCCCCTCCCACAAAAACTCCCAACAAACACGAGGAACATGTGGGTACCCTCCCAGAACCGACCTCGATCTTACACCTCGGTGCGACTGTAACCCTCCCTCCGCGATACCCCGAACGAGAAGGTCACAACACGGGGGCAGCCTGCTGCTGCTGTGGCTCCGCAGGGTCGGCGCCCGGCTCGAAGTGGACGAACCGGCGCAGCGGCACCTGACGGGCCAGCCCGCCTCCAGAAGATATGCGAGCCTCACTTCAGCGCGGACACGGAAAAATGATGCGCAGACACACACGAGCGACGAAGAGAAAGGGGACATACGCGAGATGGCATCGCGACCTCACTCGGCGGCTTGCGCGGGCCGCCAGCGCGGCACAGCATGAAGGGGCCCTGGGACACACAACTAAATACGCACAAATACCCGGATTCACAATACTTTACCATATTTTCTGGGTTCTTGTCTCCCCCCCACACTTCCCATATTTTCCCATCTTTTCTGGGGAATCGACGATTAATTCCCCACATGCTTCGTGGGGTTATGGTTTTCTTCCCTTCCGCGTCTCACCCGCGTCTCCTCCTTCTCCTTCTCCTTCTCCTCCCTCTCCTTCTCCTTCTTTCTCACCTCACGCACATCACAGCACGGCAGGCGCGCACATGAGACACGCGTAGCACACTTCAGAACACAGCGCAGCGCAGCACAACACAGCGCTGCTCAGCACAGCTCAGCTCGGCACAGCGCAGCACAGGAGTGGCACTTTCTCGACACCAGAGAGGGTGCGCAGGGGGTGGTCTCTCACCGCGGCGTCTATGCGTGCCAGGGTCGGAGAGCGTGGCAGGCGTGGCACTTTCTCGACACCAGAGGGGGTGCGCAGGGGTGGTCTCTCACCGCGGGCCCTTATGCCGTACCAGTGGTCGGAAAGAGCGTGGCAGGCGTGGCACTTTCTCGACACCGGAGGGGGTGCGCAGGGGGTGGTCTGTCAGCTCGGCCGCTATCAACGACACTGGCGCAAAGCCTAGCAGGCGTGGCACTTTCTCGACACCACAGGGGGTGGGCAGGGGGTGGTCGCGGTCCCTATCCACGACACTGGCGCAAAGGCTTTCAGGCGTGCACTTTCTCGACACCACAGGGGGTGCGAAGGGGGTGGTCTCTCAGTCGGCCGCTATCCACGACACTGGCGCAAAGGCTAGCAGGCGTGGCACTTTCTCGACACCAAGGGGGTGCGCAGGGGGTGGTCTCTCAGCTCGGCCGCTATCCACGACACTGGCGCAAAGGCTAGCAGGCGTGGCGCTTTCGCGACACCACAGGGGGTGGCAGGGGGTGGTCTCTCAGCTCGGCCGCTATCCACGACACTGGCGCAAAGCCTAGCAGCGTGGCACTTTCTCGACACCACACGGGGTGCGCAGGGGGTGGTCTCTCAGCTCGGCCGCTATCCACGACAACTGTCGCAAAGCTTAGCAGGCGTGGCACTTTCTCGACACCATAGGGGTGCGCAGGGGTGGTCCCTGAGCTCGCCGCTATCCACGACACTGTCGCAAAGCTAGCAGGCGTGGCACTTTCTCGACACCAGAGGGGGTGCGCAGGGGGTGGTCCCTGAGCGCGGCCGCTATCCACGACACTGGCGCAAAGGCTAGCAGGCGTGGCAGTTTTTCGACACCAGAGGGGGTGCGCAGGGGGTGGTCTCTGAGTCGCCCGCTATCCACGACACTGTCGCAAAGCCTAGCAGGCGTGGCACTTTCTCGACACCGAGGGGGTGCGCAGGGGGTGGTCCCTGAGCGCGGCCGCTATCCACGACACTGTCGCAAAGCCTAGCAGGCGTGGCAGTTTCACGACACCGTAGGGGGTGCGCAGGGGGTGGTCCCTGAGCGCGGCCGCTATCCACGACACTGTCGCAAAGCCTAGCAGGCGTGGCACTTTCTCGACACCAGAGGGGGTGCGCAGGGGGTGGTCCCTGAGCTCGCCCGCTATCCACGACACTGGCGCAAAGCCTAGCAAGCGTGGCACTTTCTCGACACCAGAGGGGGTGCGCAGGGGGTGGTCCCTGAGCTCGCCCGCTATCCACGACACTGTCGCAAAGCCTAGCAGGCGTGGCACTAGTAGGCGACACTTTAGCTCGACACCAGAGGGGGTGCGCAGGGGGTGGTCCCTGAGCTCGCCCGCTATCCACGACACTGGTCGCAAAGCCTAGCAGGAGTGGCACTTTTCGACACCAGAGGGGGTGCGCAGGGGGTGGTCCCTGAGCGCGGCCGCTATCCACGACACTGCGCAAAACCTAGCAGGCGTGGCACTTTCTCGACACCGTAGGGGGTGCGCAGGGGGTGGTCCCTGAGTTCGCCCGCTCCCACGACACTGTCGCAAAGCCTAGCAGGCCTCCACGACACTGGGGGTGCGCAGGGGTGGTCCCTGAGCGCCCGCTATCCACGACATTGTCGCAAAGCCTAGCAGGCGTGGCAGTTTCACGACACCGTAGGGGGTGCGCAGGGGGTGGTCCCTGAGCGCGCCGCTACCCACGACACGGTCGCAAAGCCTAGCAGGCGCGGCACTTTCTAGACACCAGAGGGGGTGCGCAGGGGGTGGTCCCTGAGCTCGCCCGCTATCCACGACACTGGCGCAAAGCCTAGCAGGCGTGGCACTTTCTCGACACCAGAGGGGTGCGCAGGGGGTGGTCCCTGAGCTCGCCCGCTATCCACGACACTGTCGCAAAGCCTAGCAGGCGTGGCACTTTCACGACACCAGAGGGGTGCGCAGGGGGTGGTCCCTGAGCTCGCCCGCTATCCACGACACTGTCGCAGGGCCTAGCAGGCGTGGCACTTTCTCGACACCAGAGGGGGTGCGCGGGTGGTCCATGAGCTCATCCACGACGTCGCTAGCAGGCGCGGCACTGACACCAGCGCACGGGGGTGGTCTCTCACCGCGGTCTCTATACGCGCCAATGTCGCAGGGCTTAGCAGGCGTGGCACTTTCTCGACTCCAGAGGGGGTGCGCAGGGGGTGGTCTCTCACCGGGGTGGTCCCTCACCGCGGCCGTTATGCACGACGGTCGTCCAGGGCATAGCAGGCGCGGCAGTTTCTCGACACCATAAAGGCTGCGCAGGGGGTGGTCCCTCACCGCGGCCGCATGCACGACGGTCGTCCAGGGCATAGCAGGCGTACCACTTTCTCGACACCATAGAAGGTGCGCAGGGGGTGGTCCCTAACCGCGGCCGCTGGCTGGCTCGAATCTGTCCTCACAGAGGGGAACATTCGCGACGAGGGCTGAGAACGCAGAATTGCGCATATATGATAAACTTAAGCAAGCACATAAGATTTAAATTGAGTATGTGGGGTTCCTCGGTAGCGTAATTGTGTCTGTGTTTTTTCCCCTCCTGGCACTACACTGGAAACGAAGGCGCTGACGCGCGCCCTTACGCGGATAGCTTGCGCGCCAAATTCGGCGCATGCGACCCCGTCTTTTTCCGCCGCTCACGTGCCAGCCAGCATGCAAAAAGCGGGGACGAATGTTTGACCATTTATGATGATCTTGGGGGCTTGTTGGGAGTGTTATGTATATACACACACGAGTCGTTAGTTTGTTGGTCAAAGCAGGGACGACGATCAACGGAGTGTCGCGGAGGGAAGATGGCAGTTACGGAAACGAAAACGAACAAAAACTGCGCGCTACGCCGAGCGGAACAGGGCGATTTAAGATGAAACCAAGACAAGCACCGAATCGGACAAGGATGATTTCTGAGATTCGGCGGTTCTGGAGGATGTATCGGGCGCTGCGGTCGCCCCAGAGCGTTCCGGCAAACTCTGGAACGACTTATTTCTGTCCTGGCCCCGCCTGGCGACTTGAGACAACGGCAGCTCAAAATCGGTCCCCGCCTCCCTCCCAGGTCCAGACCCACCAGCTTTCCGAGCTGTGTCCAGCCGTGGCGACGAGAGCTCCCCCGAGGGCCAACTGCCGGTGACTCAACTCGCTCTCCTCCGAAATGACGTTCGCGCCCCAGCTGCCATCCGACCTACAGTAGGTCTTCCAGGGGCGCACCTCCGAAGCTGCCAAGAATGTTCGACAGAGCCGCCTCGCTCGACTCCGTGCGCGCACGCCCTGACCAGGACGGCCCGCACGAGCCCGGGGAAACAGAAAGGCACCCATACAGTCGGACTTCATTGGACAGGACACGCGAGAGGAAAAAAATACCTTTACGACGAGCTGCACGCCGCCTGGGCCAGTAGCAGAGGGGGCCCGACGGAGGGACCCGACTGGCGCGAGACCCGGGACCCGCGACCCGGGACCGCCGTGGGACCCGGGACCCGGGACCGGCGCAAGACCCGGGGCCTGGGAGTGTGGTACCCGGGACCCGGGACCGGCACGAGACCCGGGACCAGCGCGGGACCCGGGACCCCGACCCGGGAGTGGCGCGGGACCCGGGACTCAGACCGGCGCGGGACCTGGGATTCGGGACCCCGGGCCAGCGCGGGACCCGGGACCGGCACGCCAGGACCGGCGCAGGACCCGCCACCCGGGACCGGCGCGGGACCCGAGACCTGGAACCGGAGCGGGACCCGGGACCGCAGGACCGGCGCGGGACCCGGAACCCGCGACCCGGGACTGGCGCGGGACCCGGGACCTGGCACCGGCGCGGGACCCCGCGGACCCGGGACCCAGGATCGGCGCGGGCCCAGGGACCCGGGAGCGGGGCGAGACCCGGGACCCGGTCGAGTGGCGCGGGACCTGCGACCCGGCACCGGCGCGGGACCCGGGACCCTGGACCGGCGCGGGACCCGGGACCCGGGAGCGGCGCGGGAGCCGGGACCCGGGACCGGCGCGAGACCCGGGACCCATGACAATGACCCAGGACCAGAGCGGGACCTGGGACCGGCGCGGGACCGGGCACCCGGAACCCAGGACCGGCGCGGGACCCGGGACCCAGGACCCCGGACCGGCGTAAGACCCGGAACCCGGAACGGCGCGAAACCCGGGACCCGGGACGAGCACGGTACTCGGGACCCGGGACCGGCACGGGACCCCGGGACCATCGCGGAACCCGGGAACCGGGACAGCCGCTGGACCTGGAACTCGGGATCCGGGACTCGGGACGCGGGACCGGCGCGGAACTCGGGACCCGGGACCCGCGCGGCGGGGCCCGGGCCCCAGGCCCCGCCGCGCGGGTCCCGGGTCCCGGGCCCCAGGCCCCGCGGGGCCCCGGGGCCTGGATCCCGGGACCCGGGACCGGCG